CCCCAAAACCCCAAAACCCCAAAACCCCTCATGACGAAAACTGTTGAATTTAGAGAAAAGGAAATGTGTTTTGAATTAAAATTATCGATAGTTATTTTATATGCTTGAATGAACATAAACTAAAGGCTATTAATAATTAAAGTGATTTGTATAAGTTAGTATTTAATGAAATAAAAATGAAAATTCTGTTTTTAAACTTCAATGCTTGATTTTAAATTACATTATATTCAAGCTATATTACTTATTAAGTTCATCATACCAGTTAGAAGTAATAGAAAATCGGTTCATTCTTAGCAATCTATTATGCTTTGTAGGTATTTCATTCCTTCTTAGAAATCTTCCTGTGAATTTACCATTGTTTTATTGGTTTATAATGAGTTTTATGCATGATTTTCTATATAGTGCTGAAGAATGAACTAAAATGCAGACCAACAAGTTAGAAATCCTAATCTTTATAATGTAAATTGATATAGGCACGAATTCAGTGTTTTAACAAGTTTTTGCGATTTCTCATCCTCTATTACTTAAACCATTTTCTTCGGATAGAACACTGACCCAAAGAAAAATACAATTTCATCGCTAAAATCAGGTTCAAAGCTTTCTGCGTCATTCAGAGGCTTGTTTTGAATTCTTTCCGTGTTAAAAAATAGCTTCTCTGTGAAATTTTTAATTGCGAATAGATAATATTTTTAATGTCTGTACCGAGCCACGCTCAAGTATCTACTTTATTCTTAGAACTACTTTAGATAGACTTTTCTTATCTCTCTAACTAGAGTTTTTAGCACTACGTCTTTGCGGTTAACATTTGCCAGATAAATTCCTTATTCGAATTTATTGGTCCTTTGTTAAGTGATCAATTGCAATTTAGGTTAGTATTTTTTCTTGATTGATCGGCACATATTTTTTGTGTCAATTTTCGAAATCTATTCATCGTGTCTCCTGCCGAATCTTACTTGCTTCTACTCTTACATTGCTATATCCGCATTACTTTCAGTGAATTCACCCTAATCTTATTGTTCTTTTGTAATAATGACTGATTACTCTAGGATCTTATTCTTTGATGATGATGATATTATAATATTAGTCAGCTGCTCGTCGTCTTTGTTACTGTTTAATTATTTTTCTTCTTCAACCGGATATAAATCTTAATACAGTGCGTTATAGTGATCAAAATCAATTTCTGATTTTATTTCCGGCACATTTAGCGTAAATCCGTGGTCTTCTGATTCAGTATCGATTTAAACAGCAGGAATTTAAAAGTCTACAGGAAAGTAGTGAAGTCTCTCTGATCCAATATTCAGAAGATCGTAATTGAGTAATTATTAAAAGCAAAGTTCGCTGCTAGTTGGAGAGTCTTGACAATCATTTATAGTCCTCTCTTGGTTAAGTGGTTTAAGGAATTCGTCAATCATTAAGTCGAAAGTAAAAGATTCTATGTTCCTACTCATCTCCCTATAATCTATTATCGTGATTATTAATTATCTAATTAATTCAAAGTTCACTAATATTCAGAAATAGATACTCATTTTAATTAATGCTTTTATTTTTCATCATGGGGTTTTGGGGTTTTGGGGAGATCGGAAGAGCGTCGTGTAGG